AGTGTACTTGAATTCTTTGAGAATGCCAATTGCTTCGTATGTATGTAAGTAGCAACTGAGCTAAGTTTAAAATATTTATTACAAATTAATAAATCATGACAACACGGGAAATATTCGTGTTTGCTTGTATGTAAATATTGTACATAAATATTTTACATAAAAGCATATGCATATACATAGATACATACGTACATATATACGAATTTCGCAAGTGGTAAAAGAAATGTTTAAATATAGAAAATTCAAGCGAGTTTAATTAGTGCGTAGCCCAAATTTTTTTGTTTTTGCATAAAGCCAGACACAACTGACGTGATATGATATAATAAATAGTAGTAGGTATGCTATTTTTTAACTTTGTATGTAGGCTGTACTTAAACATTTTGTTGTAAAGATTGGTGTTAATGGGAAGATTATTATTTTTTCAGTCAACAAATTTGTTTATTACTAAAAAAAATAAAAATAAATATTTATTTTGTAATGAAGTATTTAATTAAGGATTTTTTCTATTCTCAATCCATAAATTTATTTTTAGTAGGAACAACATTCGTTTTCTAAATAATTTTAATCCCACATCATCCACCTGTTGCCTTCTAGGTGTTTCAACTGCATTTTTAAGCGCATTAAAATAAAGTACATAAATACGTATTTATGCAGTTGATAGCATGCCACAGATATGAGCATTTCAATAATCTTTTCACAACAGAGGTGTGCCTCATTTAAATGCTAGCTCTCAATATTATTCATTTCAAAAAATTTCTGACGGCATGCTGTTTGTTTTGCGTTTATTTTATAAAATCAAAGGCGATGATAACATAGCAATTTGTTTGTTAATAATATTGGATATGTATTTAATTTAATCTATATATTAATACGTTAGCATACATTTTGAGAGAATTAGGTTAACTGAAAGGGTAAGAGTATTTATTGTAATTTTTCGATAGGAAACAAAATAAATTCAGTCAAAAAAATTTTGTTATCGAAAGTTATCAAGCTATCGAAATTTATCGAATCATCGAAGTTTACAGTTATCGAAATTTATCGAATCATCCATGTTTATTGAGTTATCGCAACGTATCTAATTATCGAAACTTTCAAACACAGAAAATGAGTTATCAAAATTTATGGATAGTTATCGAGCTACACAACTTTATGATATTATCGCAATTTGTCAAGTTAATTAAATTTATCAGAATATCGATATTTGTTGCCGTTGTTGTAGAGTTAACGAAATGTATCCAGTTATCGTAATGCATCGAGTTCGTTGAACTTATCGAGTTATAGATATTTATGGATTTACTGAAATTTGTCAATTTATCGAATCGAAAATTTTGGAATTTTCAAAATATGTCGGGCTATCAAAATTCTTTAAGTTGTTAACGAATTATCGAAATTTGTCAATAGCTTTCAAACTATATGGAGCTATCAAAATTAACCGAGTTATCGACATATATAAATTTTTGAATTATCAAAATTTATCGAGCCCTCGGAAGTAACAGTTGTCGAAGATAGTCCAATTTTGTTGAGTTATCAGATTTCATTGTTTTTGAAATTCAAAGAATTAATTATATGTATCAAATTATCGAAATTTATCGACAAACATAAATGTATGGGATCAATTCCAACCTCTCCACGGCTCTTAAAAAACCAGAAAACTGTCGAATCTCGGCAGAAAGTGGCACTAATTTTGATTATTCCAGTATAATTATTTAAAAATATATATTTTTTTTTGGCGAATATGGGTGTCAGTGAAAAATATAAAAAGGCCAAAATTTGAAATTTTTTTTTTTCCAATTTCCTTGCAAAAATACTTTAGACTCAGGGTGTAACGTCTAATTTACATAGACATGCATGTATGTATGTATGTCTATAAAAATCAAACGAACCCAGATACAAAAGAAATTTGTTTAGATAGATATACATATATGTATATATTTCTATAGGTGCATACCGGAGTTTAACACTGCTGCTTTATGTACATATTATTATTTGAATTTTTTCTCCGTGCTATACAAAACAATGATTTGCCATAATTTTAATATTACAAGTACTTATACAAAAGTGCTACTTCAGTATTCTTGCTCTGCTCATTTAAAAAGTTCTCATTATGATTGATTATAGTTTTGTCGATTTTTTAATTCGCATTAGGGTGCATCACTATTCATACATAAAAATTTGGTACTGTTATTCCATTGAAAATATTTAATTTATTAAATTTTAAGACTTTCCCCATAATGTTTCGTCAAAAATGTTAAGAGAGTTCTTAAGGTGTTGTATACTGAGCCTTATGAATAAAAATTAAGAAATTGCTTTTTCTTAAAATTTCAGACCTTTTGCTTTAATTTATTTGAAAAAAAAAATCTAGTAAAAGCCTTGAAATTTAAGAAAGCAATTGCTTAGTTTTTATTCATAAGGCCCACTGTCGTTTAGTTGTATGTCGTAAACTTTAAACGGCTAAAAATTTTTGAATGAAGGGCATTGGCAAGATATCATAAAAGGCATATTGTGGATTTTCACAATGTTAAAAAGTAACTGGTTGTGGTTTCAAGTCCTCTAAACATTTATTTGAGGTTTTAAAATTTACGACATACAACAATACGACAGTATACGACACCCTATTTAAGATTTACGTGAGTTATATCGATTCGAAAATACATCAAAAATATAGTTTTTCATAAATAAAAATAGTTTTAAAAAATATTTTGTCTAAAAATCACCTCAGATGATAGTAGAGCCAAAGCTCAAAAGGACCGCAGAAAAATGTTAAAACAGTTTATCAACGTAATCAAAATATTGTGATTTTCGGAGGATTTTCAAATAGGCCCAGCTCACTTCAGTCTTATTATTTTTGCGATGTATGTATTTTAGCGGATGTCTTAAAATAAAATAAACTTTTTAATTCCGCAGGAGCAACCACAACTTTTTTTGGCGATGCACACTAATGCACATATGTAGGAATGTGAGTGTATGTACATATGTAGCTCTTTCTTTTGTTTTCGGATGCTCGTGCGAGTTGGCATTTAATGTTATTGAAATTTTTCTAATTTCGATCTGATCATTTTCAAGGTCAAAGTTTATTGTTTTTGCCATGTGCGCCAATCAAAAATCTAATTTGGATAAGCGTGCACAAAAGCACAATTATGCTCGTATATGTAGACATCACCGGTCCCAATACCATGCTTTGAGGGCAGCATTTTCTAACTTGGAGAAGAAGGCAAAAAACGAGGTCAAGACAAAGTACACCCCGGCAACACATGAAGAGTCGTGCCATATAGGGACACACGTCAATGTTGGCAGCTGTAATTCTGAAATAGTGAAAGACTTTGTCTACCAAGGATCCAAAACAAACAGTGCCAATAATAACCGCGTGGAGATCAAGCGAAAGATAACTGTTGCCAACAAGTGCTACTTTGGACTTGGTAGGCAATTGAAAAGCACCCCGCACTTTTATATGGCGCAGAAATGTGGCCGATGCTGAACTGACTTCGGGGAAAAAAATGGCAAATACAAAAACAGAACAAAGACAAGAACAAAGGCAAAGACAGAGACAGCGACTAACAGGGCAATTCTGGCCAAGATTAGGGTTAGGTGGTGCGCGGGTTGATTTTTATTAACCACTAATAAAAGCTTGTCCTCAAAAAATTTTCTTTAAATCGCTTGTTTAATTTAAGTTTCTTCTAATTTTTATATTTCATTGTTTTAAAAAGAAATAAGTAATACTTTTTTGAAACTTATGCTCTTTTTTATTTTAATATGTATATATTTTATTTCAATTAAACTTTTAAACTACAAGTGAAATATATATATTTGTATAATTTAATTTAATTTTTAGAAACATAATTTTTTTTTATTAAATTTTTTAATTTAATTTTCTTTTAGTTATTAGATTTTATTGTTTTCAAAAGAGAATTTTTTTTTTATTTTTTATTAAATTTTTACAGTTATTTTTTTCTTTTCCTAAATTTCCTTTTTATTTAGATTATATTATTTTAAAAAGAAAAAATGTTAATTTTTTTAATTTCATTTAAATTTTAGGAAGTTATTTCTTTTTTTTTAATTACTATTTTTTTGTGTAATCTTTTTTTTTTTAATTTTACGATTTTATTGTTTTAAAAAGAATTTTTATTTTAATAATCATTTAGTTGTTCGAAACTTATATCACTAATTTTTTCTTTTTTCATTAATTTTTTTATTTAAAAAATAAAAATATACATACATATATGTTGAGTTCAGTCGTTTTCTTACCACCAGCATTGCAATTTTTATTTCGAGGGTGCTTCACAGACTCGACATCCAGTCAGAGCCAACGACACATACTTGTCATAAAAAGGTTTATTTAAGATTCTTGAAATATGAAAAATTAATTTTACCAAACAAAACATACATACAAAGATGCGTACATTATGTTGACTGTTAATCAAGTAATTGCGGTACTGATTTTATGCAATTTTAACAAATAATTGCTAAGTGCTAATGATCAAGAAATATTTTGAATGACACAACCAATCTGAAAGGTATAAAAATAAACCATTCTATGCATAACTTTTTCCTAATCATATATATTATTGTATAGTATTATGTGTAAAGTTTGCTAACTCCGCAAACACGGCGTCATCATTACTCCTCCAAAATTTTGAAATTATGTGTTCAATCCAAGTTACGGGGGGTTGTTTACTTCTGCCACTGCCATAACTGCAACTGCAACAGTCAACTTGTAAACAAGAAATAAAACTAAATCGTTTAAGCGCTGAAAATTGCAACTAAATGCAAAAGTAACGATTAATTGCAGTCACTGTGTACCAGCAACAACAATGACTTTAAGCAAATCAGCAAATTTATCAAACACACACAATTTGAGAAGTCGCGATTATTTTGGCGAAGTAATCAACTGCGAGTTCAGTTGACAATTACTCGTAAGCTAATGGCAATGCGACAACAATGACTATAAAACATGGAGTATATATATTTAGTACATGTGTGTGAGTGCGTGTGTGTTTGTGCGTCCGAACAACAACAGGTAATAATTATATTAGCAACGACAACGCCGCACTAATTGCAGCAATGACGGCTCATTTTGAGTGAATATCGCAACGATCGGACGCCGACGACAGAGCAAAGCTACCACCACCACCACTAAGCCAAAACAAACAAACAAACAAACAGCCAGCCAGGCTGCTAGCCTGCTAGCCGATGTTGTGAATGCTGTTAGCCTCGATCTAGCCGATATAAATAAGAAACGTCGCTTGCTGCTCGGATTACTAGTTCAATGTTCTAAGCGCAAAGTGTACACGCGAGCGAAACGTACGGAACCAAAGTGAATTAAATTTACAATTACCTGACACAAACACAGTTGATAAACAACTTGAACCGTTATAAAGTGCAAGTGAAAAAAAAAAAAATTGAGTGAATTACCGAAATTTATACGAAAAAAAAGGAATTGCACAAATGTGAAATCTTACAAAAAAAAAAAAACTGTGAGGATATAATTAAAGTAGTTGTGCGCTAAGAAAACTGTGAATCCATGATTTTAAGAAAAAAATTAAACTAATCTAGAAGGCAAACAACTATCAAAATCAATAACAATTGTTGCTAAACGCATGGATTGCGAGTAGATCGTTCGATTTTTTCTTCAAGTCCTCCTCCTAAATAGTTTTAACCCCCCTTCCAGCCCGCAGCTAACACGCGCGCCACACGCACACTATGCAATCACATCAGGATACCTTCGGCGCTGATGCCTCTAAACGTTATGGCCATCGACGTACCACCGCACTGGGCAAAGCGATGCCCGTCACCTCATTGTTACTGCACTGTCCGCCACCCAACATGTCCTCGATGCGTTCAAACTTTATGCGTGATGGCCGCACACCCGACGAAGAGCGTCCGCCACTCTTCTTTCAATTAGAATCGAATTCAAATGAATTCAATCAAGTCGACAGCTTCAGAACAGAGCGCGCTATAACACCCAATCGAAATGAAGACGCACACTCTTCGAGCGATGAGTTAAATCCTGAGTCAGAATATGAATTACTAGTTTCAGAGTGCAGCAGCGGCAATGGTGATGGTGGTGATGCGCCCCGCAATGATCCCGGCATCTCCATAGTAGGCAATTCAATCTTCTACAAACCCTGCCTGACATGCACCGACAGCGCACCTGGCGATTTGGGTGCACGCGCCACCGCCATCAATGAGATGTGTCGTCGGCTGTGCACTGATGAGTGCCGATTGCGTTTGAGCTTGGCCGGTTTTGTGCCGCCATCAGAGGTGACCTTGAAATCCAGTGAAGCACTGGCTGAGTACGTGAAAGAGACATGCCAACAGCAGCGACCACAGCTGCAACACACTTGCTCAGAGGATACAATGCGCGCCAATTCCGTAGACGAGTCGCTGGCACAAGGAACCGATGAAGTTGACAGAGTTGCTACAGCAATTCAAGCGCCAATAGGTCTGAATGCGAATGTAGTCACGTCCGCCGTGGCGGCAAATGCGCCCATACTACGCGCGCCCTCAGGTATTGCCATACAACGTAAGAAATTTCTCACAGATATTTTAACGGCGAACACAAACGATACAGACAGTGACTCCAGCTTTGTTGACGAACAAAAGGAGAAGCCAGACGGTAGCAAAAAAAGGCAAGAGCTCAATAATAAATTGGTTAAGCCAGCACGTGAACTAGTTGATGAAATCACATTGACTACTCCGCGCAACGACGACGAGGACGAGGACGACGACGACGTTGACGACCACGCTGGTGGTCCTCCACTCGTTCATGGCGACAATAATATGAATGCTACAATCGTCGATCGGCACGAGATGACCATGCTGAAGGACTTCCGTGAGAAATTCGAAATTGCGGAAGCATTGGCAAAGGCCTCAGCAATGACCTCAACGACACAAATGAAACAACGTCTGGCGGCGCGGCAACTGGAAATGGCGAGCGCAAATGCGAATACGAAAGCAGCCGCACTGGCGGAGCTTATGGTGGCGGCGGCGGCGCGAACGAGTAATGTAACGGCGTGTGCGCCCGATGTTGCAGTGGCAGACAAAGACGGGTGTGTGTCGCCGACGGCACAAAACCAACAAACAAAACAAGAAAGACGACGCCAACGACAACAACGGCGACGAGAGCAACATAAAAAGCGACAACGACAGCAACAACAAGCGCCCCAAAAAGGTGTGCCAGCCAATTGCGCGCCAACTCATGACGCATTTACGCACTCCAATAACGCGATCAACGTGAGCGATGTGAACAGCTGCTGCGTTGATAACAACAACGAAAAAGTCAACAACTATCACCATGAACATCGAGCCGTTCGCCGTAGTGACGACGCTGAATGTGGTTGTTGTGTGTATAGCGAAGGTGGCAACGACGACGACGACGACGACGACGACAACGACGACAACGACAACGATGACTACGACGACAATGACAGTGACAGTGACAATGACAACTTTTTTGGTATTGCCGGTACAGACAATGCGGCTACCATAAAACAACAGCAACAGCTACATAAACATCAACGTCAAGAGAATACTGTAATCGATTACGAGCCACCGCGGGATTTACTTTTGTATCTTGTGAGGTAATTGCCATGTAATTTTAGTAACTTATCACATAAATATTGAAGCGGGTTAAGAGAAGAAACTGGTCGTTCTACTAAATGGCAATTCATCTGGTTAATCTGCGTATTTCGATCGATGCTTATGTAGTTTCGTAATGAGTTTTTTCGGCTATGACTTGCGTGTGAAAATAATTTTTTTTTTCTCTTTTATCAAAAAAATCTGATACAAATTAAAGTTGAAGGTGGGTAGGAATAGGAATACTTAATAACCTATGGCTCAACTTTAATCCAGCTAAGTCTGACATCATTATGGTCACTTTAAAAAAGAGTCCTGCCGGGCAAGAGAAACATAACTTTGTAGGGAGTCGTTGTCAACAAACGCCAGTGAAGGGAATTATCTGGGATTAATTCTAGAAGACAAAATTCTATGGAACAAACATTTGGTTACGATCACTTTCAAAGCCACGAAAGCGTTAATGCTGTGCAAGCGGCTGGCAAGCGAGTCCTGTGGATGCAGACGGCTCGACAACTCCAGAGGGAATGGGAGAAGGGATCCTCGGCCCTGAATTAAGATGGCTGTTCCTCGGGGAAATATGCGAGTATTTTTCAGGCTGAAGTTTATGCCATGTGCGTGAGAAAATAGTAAGCGATAGCCAGGCGGCACACAGTGTTCTATTTTGTAAAAAAATGGACAACATCAAATATAACGGTATTTAAAATATGAGTTGGAGAATTCAGGAAAAAAATACTCGTTGGGGAAAAAAATTATCTTGACTTTCAAAACGACTTTCAAATGTAGAAGATTTAATTTTTTTCATTTTTTTACCTGAAACAAGCAACTTTGTAAAAGTTTTAAACAAATAGTTATTTTTGATGCTCTTGCATCAAGCATTCGATTTCCATGGCCATGAGAACCGAAAAACGCATTCACAAATTTTTTCTAAGTTTATTACAATCTAAAAAAGCCAATATTTTACTTTGAAGGTAATTTTAAAGATCTGATTGAATGAAAAATTACTTCGTCCTCAAAACCGAGCTTCACAAGAAGAATTTTTGTTTTTCTTTTTTTTTTTTGTTTACGGCCTGTCTGCAGTTCTAAAGAAAAACGAAAAATTTATATAAAATGACGCACAAGAAATGGTAAAGAAATTTACTTCTATCAAAATTTTTTAAATCAGTATGTAGCTCTTAAGAAAAAAAGCGCTCGATATTTATTTCTTATTTTGTTTTTTTTTTTTTTTACAACAAAGGTTCACTGAAGATATGAACTTTGGTTCGTTCAAAGACCTATCCGAACACAGTTTATTTTTCTTTCTAATTATGCCAAAATAAACTTGAAGTGGCCTTAAAGTGCTCGAATAAATAATCTGTTGCGGTATTTGTATGCGTGTTTTATGAATTTTCTATCTCAATTAGAGTCATAAATAATATTTATGTACGTAACTCGTATGCTGTCATTCTCAACTACCGCAAAATTTGTTTTATAAAGGCCATTTGTGCATAATGATATTTATGTCTACATATTTATTTTTATTTTTTTTTTTCACATAATATTAAGCATATTACAAAATAATTGGCTTACTAAGCTTGCGTAAAGTGTGCTTCAGTTATGAGTATGTATGTATGTAACTAAATATCCGCAAGATAAACTGTAGCGCACTCGTGTATAATTGTTGTCAACTTTCAAACCAAATAAACAAANTGTGCATAATGATATTTATGTCTACATATTTATTTTTATTTTTTTTTTTCACATAATATTAAGCATATTACAAAATAATTGGCTTACTAAGCTTGCGTAAAGTGTGCTTCAGTTATGAGTATGTATGTATGTAACTAAATATCCGCAAGATAAACTGTAGCGCACTCGTGTATAATTGTTGTCAACTTTCAAACCAAATAAACAAACAAAAATAAATAATAATACGCATGAAGTTCAAGGTGAACTAAAAAAAAATAAAATAAAAAAATAAAAAACGTTTAATTCTACAAATTTTTGCAACTGCTATATTCACTTAGTAGTTTCACATAGGTACATACATACTCGTATTTACGCTTGTTAACTGAATGTGGTTTATTTAAAAAAAAAAAAAAAATATATATATAACAAATGTTTGATTATGATAAGTTGCTACCAGATATACAAATAAAAGCTTAATTATGACAAGGTCAGCAGGGTGTTTGTCAAAAGCTATTGCATTGTATACTCAAATGATCTTACCGTCGAGCTGAGTAGATTTAGCGACCCTAAAGAAAGTCTCTGTTTGAACACGATTAAAAAGCGAAATTTTATTTATTTTTCATGACCGGTATAAAGTCTTCGGTATAGCCAAAGGCAGCACTCCCCTCACTTGTTTTATGTATTTTCGCGCATAACCTTTTGTGAACCGATTTCTTATACGTTGCGTTAACTTTTGGGTCGCATTTTGTTAAACTAGGGTTAAGTAGAGCAAAAAAGTTTGGGAAATCAAAATCAACTTAAGACAATCTAGAAACGACGATACGGTTGGTAACACTGGCTCACCTCAAAATGCACACTGGATGTCACTATCCAATTCCTATGATTTCGAAAATCGAGTTAATTTTTTTCCTATGGATAAGTTTTCGATATATTTGCAATTTACCGTTATTCAACTAAAAAAAGTGTTTCCACTTAATCACGTATATCACGCCATATTTCATACAAAAAATGTTTGTGCGTTTTAATTTGACCACGTTGGATTTTTTGTAATAGAAGACTTCAAACAAAAATTACACAAAATCTATTATTTTTAAAATTTTTTCCTTGTAAAGTGACGTATCTATATATGGTTTATGGTGAATTTCGTTAGCTGTCATTTACCGTATTCATATTAAATTCCTGGTAAATTGCTTCGCAAGTGTCACGTGAATGAGTGGAACCACTTTTCTTTAAACTGAATCACTAAGCGATTCTACATAAGAATTGGATAATGGCATCCGGTGCAGAGAAAAAATAAAAATCTGCGATCCAGTTGCGCATTACTTATAATCTTATAAATAGAAGAAAACAATTTTTGAACTACATACATATGTACATAGGTACGTTGTGCACTACTTTTAATTATGACTTTGTTGCAAATTACATTCCAATTTTCTTTTGTTTGACAACCACATTTGTAATTTTGACGCGTGCACGTTGCTTATGCGAATGATTATGCCTACATTGTATATGTATGTATGTACATTAGGGTGGTCCGAAAATGCATGTGAAAAAGTAAAGTCGGAATTTTTATGCTCCCACGCCCTAGGATTGTTCTTTATCGAAAAAAAGTACACCCTATTTTTTATTTTGAAATCAAAAAATATTTAGAGGTCGCTCAAAGCGCTCAAAGTTTTCTATGTATTTTATGTAGGGGGAAAAAACTTTCTTAAAAATAATATAGAATTCTTGAAAATCAATTATTTAACAATTTTTTCATAGTAATTATATTTTATACGTCCGCCAAAACCCCCAGAAAATGCCAGAAAATGAAATGACGGATAAATAAAAAATCTTTAGTATTAAAAAATGGTTAAACAAACAATTGGGTATTGTTATTGGAAGTCTTCTGAAGAGAAACTGAGTTTTCCGATCGAAAACTATTGATTTTCAAGAATTCTATACCATGAAAAACTTAGAGCGCTTTGAGCGACCTCTAAATATGTTTTGATTTCAAAATAAAAAATAAGGGTAAATTTTTTCGATATATGTAGAACAATCCTACTTTACTTACATATTTTGGACCACCCTTATGTACATACGTATATGGCGCTCTTATCTACATATTCCATGCATCATAGATTTTACTCTATCATTGCCTGCATAGCTTTGGTTCAAAAGGTTGACACGTTTCGCAACGCCGCAGCTACACTACGATTCCGCCAGCGCTTGCTGTATTCATTCATATTTTAATATTTCAATTTCTTCTTCTAGGATCATTTGCTAAAATCGAGACTTTTTGACATAATGATACTGTCAATGTCTATAGAACGACGTACAAGTACTTTTTAAATGCCCAACAAATTGCAACAAAGTTAAAAGTAAGGCAGTTAGTGTTGCATCGTGTGATATATAGTATCGATTTTTAATAAATATTGATTTGCTAAATTTTTTTTCACAACAACTTTTAAAAAATAAAATTTGGATTTATTCATTAAAAATGAAATTGATTTAGTATTTTGCTTAAATTAATTAAAACTAATCAATCATAAAATCAAAAGCCTTAATTAATATTTGTAATTAAGGTAATAAATTTGTGTATAAAATCGCACACGCACGCACACACACACACATACAATTAAACTGCAAAATGGAATATTTACTCAAGTCATCGCGACTTATTGTGACGTCACGTGCATTTACGCGTCGACGCGTTGCAGTGCCCATACCAAGGTAAGACTAACTGGATCAATTTAATTATCAACTATGTATATATGTGTTAATCATCCTTATGCCATATTTGTATGTATGTACATACATGTACATGTACACATTTACCTTTCTCAAATCTAGCTAACGGAAATTTACACAAAAATTAATTAACGCATGTAAACTGTGAATAATGTGTAGGCAGGTATAGGTGGGGTGCTTTAATTCCTGATAACGCCCTCTTAAATACAAAGTCGGTTCGAATATTAGCCGTCGTTGAACGATTGATTATCCAGCTCAGAGTAATAAGTGCAATCCACAGGAAGGCAGATTCTCCGAATCGGAAAGAACGCTTCCTCCCGTTCGAGATCAAATGAGGTTTTCGAGAAGGCGAATCACTGTTGTGCGACTACAATCCGATATTGGAAAGTGTAAGCTGAATCGCAGTAGTATAGCAAATGCACGATGCCGCCGAGGTACTTAAGCAGATAAGCGCAATTTTACAGTTTAAAAAGGGAAGCAAGATAGGCTGGTCTAGCGGCGAACGAGGCCGAGAAAATGTGAATATCGATGGTCTTCCGAAATAATCGCATAACTCAAAGTTCAAAAAAATATATTAGACAAGGATTGGAGACATGAGACACTTAATAGT